CTTCTCTGCCTACATCCAATGTCTGGCAATGGTTTGAAACTCAAATGACAACCATTGCCTAGCAGGGATGAATACAACTGCTTCAAAGCTTACACAATAACACATTTTGGAAGATGATATATATCCAGCACAAAGGCCTGCTGGGTAAAAATGCAGACATACCTACAAGCCAATAAAAGTCCATAGGAAAATGATAAGGCATCACAAAAATACAAAGGGGCTACTTAATCTTCTGCATTCCAAGTTTGCTCTTTTCAATTAATTTTGTTCAAAAATGAAATGATTATGTAACTGGGGACAGATTGCAGAAAAATTTGGTGATTCTCAAAGGGAACTCTCTATACATAAAACAAATATTACATTGGCAAGACTAAAATGCATTGGATGTGAAATCAACAGAAAACAAGTGCTCATGCCCAGCATCTAGGCATCGAGCATCCACCACTTATTTTCATTAATGGAAGCCCAGATGCTTCAAAGAGGAATCATGAGGCAAAAAAAGCAAAACGTATAATTACGCTGAAATAAGAAGGCCTCTCTTTCCCCAGGAACTAATTTCTATTGCACAATGATAAAAACACTGGAATGAGGTACCTCACTAAGAAATCTGATCGGGCAAATACTGGGAGAAGTTTTAATTTTGTATTTGGTTGCTATAGCAGTTGTCACATTGCAGAGAAATGAAAGCAAAGCTCTGTGACTCCCATAGTATTACCAGACTAGCTTACCATTTCATTACCACCTCTCTTGCCATATGTTTGCCATTATCCTGTTTCTTTTGTTTCCTCTTATGAAAGTCTATAGTTTTAGACAGTTCTTGACATGGCAATAATATGGCAGTATTGCAAAAATTCTGGTAAGGATAAAGAAAACACTTTGTTGAGCAAATAATTTATAAAAAGTGCCTTGACGTCTTCAGAAATACTTATCACCTTCAGTCTCCAGCAAAGTCAAAAGACTGGCAAATGCTAAGCATGGCTGGAAATGAGACCCCCTTCACATCGATCAGAGGGCAGACTCATAATATTATCTGTACCGTATAAATTATTTGCAATAACAGAATGAAGACTACAGCATTTAGGTGAATCGACCATTTCCAGCTACTCAGCACAGCTCTCTGGCCAATATGTTTTTCCATTTTTAAACAGCTGTTCCAGGTTCGCACAGGTTTTGCACATTGCGTTGACACAGAGCTGCTAAGGCAGCAGCTGGATGCTGTGAAACACTTTCAGAGGTTGATGGTCTGACTTGGTTTTCATCCCACATCAGCCTATCACTCCTCTAAGTTCCATCAACGTTACCTTTCTGGTAAGAGGTACCTCTATAGGCACTGGTATGACTTCTGCTAGGAGACAGCCGTAAAATGCCACCATGAACATGACTGGGTCATTGTTGGGATAAACAAGGGCTACCTACAATTCACAAAAATGTTTTGTTAGTTGAAATACAAGGAAAAACTGCAAAGTTCAGATCTATTGTGACTAAAAGTCAGAAAACTTTGTGTTATTTCACATTCTACTACAGCATTTTTCACAGGGCATCTTTAAGCACTCTTTCTTCCACGGAGTATCTGGTATGCGCACGAGTTCCTCACGAAGTAATGTCAGCATTCCCTGTGTGCCCATACACATAAAGTTGCACACACAGCCAAAATACAGAGATCTAAAACTCTGTATTTCTCTCAGAGGTGCAAAGCTCTTCCTTAAATGTATTTCAAAGTCCAGAGCCAAGAAGTTGCTTACAGAGCAGCCAGCAGGACTGAAAAATCACAGAAGTTACTTTCCCAAATAGCCTGTCCCTGCGATAAGAGTCTCGCTATTAAAAGAATAAGATTATAGTGTCTGTGGTAAGTTACAGCCCCCAAAACCCTCTTTTTATTTCAGAGGGAGAACCAGACAGTCCCAAACTCATTACCCTATCTCCAGGTTTTAACACGGGTTCATTTTTGGTCCCCAGTTTATTAAGCAGTGTGTAGGCCAGCTTGAGACTTCTGCTCCACAATTTGCCTAGAACACAAAGAAGAGAGACTTGCACAACTCTAAATCAACCCAGTATACAAGAAAATATTTCAATTCTTGACTGCTTTTACCGTCTACAGTCACATCCTCTGCTTCGGTTACACTGCTTTGTCTACAAAGCTCTGAAAACGCAGGAAGGTATTTGCAACCATACTAAGAACAACAACGCTGTGTTCTATCCACTACTGCTCTTTCGGAGCAGTTTAGCAATGGAAGCCAGGGCTCAACTCACCATACGTGAGGGTATAAACCGGTTTTCCTGTAACATCCAGTGCTGTCAGACAGGGGCATTTAGCTTGTGTGGTTCCCCAGCGCTGCAGTGCTGCTTCTAAGGCAGGAGGCCAGTTACAAACAACTCCCAGGGGTTCTCCCTTCACAGGTGTCATCTGGCGTCCTTCTGGCTTGGGCTGATTTGGGTCAGGCTGTGGAACTGAAGAAAATTCAATAATGTTTCCAGTTCATCTTTGCCCATTTGTTACCAGACAGTTAAGCTGGAAAGATGCACTGAAAACAAATGCTTTTCCTCATCGCGTTTAGGTTTAACAACCCCTATCGCATTTCATTTTCTAGGAAAACCTGCGCAGAACAAAACATCGTGAACATAGTCTTCTCCTAAGGTGCTATTAAAAGGTATTCAACACAACAGTGAAGAAAGTAACACAGAATTGGAGAAAAGAAAAACAATCTTACAAAGTAAGGTTGTAATGAAATTACCTGTAAAGACAATCCCTTTTGGGAAATTAATTAAAGTAGCCTAAGCAAATGAAGGGGTTTTAAAAATCTATTTAAACATTTTTCTTAGTAAGTTTTAGTTATTGTAAGAAGTTTAGTGTTGAGGAGGCCACCCAAAGCTCAGCAGTACAGTAAATTACTTCAAACACTGGTTTTGTATCAGACTGTTCATGAAGGCTACCGCTAACTGCAAATATCGAATCAGAGTCAACTTCGAAAACAATGGCATAAATAAATTCAGCACTGTGCATGCCTGTGTACTTGTAACTAATGATTAATAAAAAAACATTATTTGGTGCTATTACCTTCCACAATTTCTTCAAAATCATCCACAAAAAATTCTTTCAGGGGTGGTCTTTTAGGTCTTTTCAAGGTGTTAAGCAACTGCTGAATTTTCGTGGAGACTCTACTACTCACAGGAACACCTGGAGGGAAAGATTTTGTCTAGTAAAAGTGTTCATCATGTCTATTAACATTTACGTCTTAGCTCCTTCCACGGGAGGATACTTCTCTTGGTGCGCCCACTCATTCAACTACTGACTTCCATTATTAAAGGCTGTGCAAGTGCAGGATGACATTAGTATTATATCAGTTCTGTATTAACTCAGTGGTCAGAAAATGCTAATAATAAAATTAATTTTTAAAGCATTTACTCCCTTCCAAAGCCTGATTTCCATCTGTCTGACACACCATACCTGCTGTAAAACACAGCCTACAGATCTGCGCCTGCCTGCAGTATCGATCAACTGCAGTGCAAGACTGCCAGCAGAGGGAGGACACAACAAGACCTGAAGCATTAATGCTACCCCCTGCACAAAGGTTTATGCCAACCAGCTTAGAGTGAGTATTAACAGCTTCATGGGAGCTTAATTATAGTTAAGAAAGACATTATTTCATTCATCTTACCTTTTCTTTTGGGGATTCTAGGACAAAAGCTTTTAAAAACAATTAGCCTACCTATGCATTTGTGATTTTTTTCTTAAAAGATGGTAGAGAAGAGAAAAGCCGATTATCTCTCCCACGATTTTCTCCAGTTCAGTACATAGTAGGTAATTCCTGCAGCATGGGAATGTGTTAATGCCAATGTCATAACTGCGGCATAGGAATGTGTTAATGCTAATGCCATAACCATCTCAAATTTGTGAAGTGCTTAAATGGCATGAACTTGAGTTGGGAGAATAAATTATGTGATTTAAGTCCTTCCTTAACACCATTCTAATTTCTGGGTACTCTGAACGGTTCCATACCATCAGCAGTATCCATGAGACTAGACCGATTAGATCCCTTGTGCATGCCTTTCACAATCCCTGAAGGAGGAAGGTCAATCACTGCTGGGCGTGCTGAGGAAGAGGAGGTAGTTGCTGTGACATCTGGGGGAACTGAGAAATTTTCTAAAAAAAGGGAGAAAATTGAGATGGCAGTTAACATATACCTTTTATTATGAGACGGAACAAGCAAAGTGTTAGTTACCTGTTACCAACAATCTTAAGAATTTAATGGGTTGAATGTATGTGAGCTCTTATTAATGCTAAACACACCGCTTCCTAAATATTAAGTAGCTCTAGGAGGTGCACATTATCTGTTCTGGAAAACAGAAAACAAAGGCACAAGATGAGTGGCTTTGTCCATGTCAGGGAAGTGGTTCAGCAAAACAGAATTCCTGCTCTTGGTTTCTAACTTCCAAATCAAGCTCAACCTCTTGACATTCAGTACTGTTAAAAAAAAAAAAAAAAAGTTTGAGATCCACATGAGCTCTGAAATATTCAAAGCCCCAGAACAAAAACCTACATCACCTATGCAGTAATCTCTCTTGCTAGAATTATACTATTTAACTTTTTTGTCAGTAAGGGCTTTCTAAAACAAAACACGCGGTAGGCTATTGACTAAAGCAGATCAGCAAAAAATCATGTTGGGTTTAAACTTCTTCCAGTTCGGTGACTAAACAGTATGAGCCTGTCCAGCGGCTGAATAATAAACTTAAAATTTAATGAATAGAGGGAGCTGGGTCTTACTTTTGCTTTAAGTTGCAAGACACTGTTCTGCTTTTCAGATGAGTTTGTAAGCTTCAAAACTGGAAGTAACTCTGCATACTTCAGTAATTCTCATTAACTTTCTCTTAAATAAGCGATTTTTGCTTACATAGGATTTCTTTATACAACACAGTAGGTTCAATCATCTGATAGGGCAAGAATATTCTATTCTAGCTTAATAGAAGCAGCAACTCTTGCTTACGAAGGAAAAAACCCAACAATTTTGAAACTGTATGCTGGCTTGCACAGAGAGTGTCTGAAGGAAGGCAGATACTGAATAATTTCCACAGAAAGGTTTTTGTGGTTGATACTTTCTCTGTGCCCCTCTTTCTAAGAAGAAAAAAAAAATCCATTTCTGCATACCTTTGGAGATATGGTGGCAAGGAATATTTCTCATGTATTAAACTTCTAAGATCACTAGGAAGGACCTAGATTTTGTACAACTCCAAACAGGACTTTTTATTGCTCTCTCCAAAGAGATGTATAAAATTGCGTATGTGAGAGTTCCTATTTATTTACATTAGGTGTTAACACAGGATGAATGTGGCATCTACATGGCAAATACAATTCCAACAAAGATTTAAAACTTCTATTTTGCATAAAATACTAATTATATTAGATAGTAGGTAAAAAGCTGTATTACCTTAATTCATTACAAAAGGTAACGTGGCTTTCTGTATGCTCCAATTAAAAACAGCCTCTCTGCTTCAAAGACACGTTAATTATATTGACTACATTTCATGGGCAATTTCTCCAGTTTTCCGTTTCAGAAAACAACTTGCATCCCAGCAAATAAACAAACAAAAATAACAGCAATAAAAAAAAAAATTAAGTGAAACAGTTAAAAACACCAGCACTTCTATGCACTGCTTGCCCCAAACCAGTTAAGCAAAAGCAGAGAGCACACAAAATACAGACACCTCCTAAGATGCAGTAATATCCTTAACAGCAGATAAAAAAGACAAACATACACAGAGCAAAAACAAACTTTGCAATTTCATACAGAAGCATCAGCAGCAAGGAGCACCTCAGAGCCTCAAAAAACTGAGCCTGGGGTATCCAGATCTGTAGATTTTGCTCCGTCTTCTCAATACCTGGATGCTCTGATTATTTCTCAGACTAGTCATGAAAGATCTGTGCTAAATCTTTACTCTGCTAAAACTTTTTTTTTTAATGACAAGCTCATTTGTTCACATATATGGCTGGGTTTTCGTTCTTTTTCTTTTCTTTTTTTTTTTAAAATCTAACACAAACAATAAACCATTAGGGCTTATAGCAAAATGAGAATGTTAAAACACAGCATTTCCCCCACTCAATAGGCAAAGACACCCCTATGGTACTCCTCAGGACACAGATGCCAAATGCTACTTGCATTCAGTAGCTTCGTACACACAGTAGCTTCAAATAGCTGTAGACATAAGCAACACAGTATACAGAAAGAAAGTTGTGCCTACTAATCCTGTCAATACTGTCAACACACCCTGGAGTCATTTCTACTTCAGCAAGCTCCTGCTCCCCATTTCCCCTTTTTCAACCAACTCAATACTCTGAAATTCTTAAGGAAAAAAACATCGTGATGGGGCAACTCCAGCAAATCCTAGCAAGTTCCATCAAAACTAACTGAACTCTTGATCCGAATTTCCCTTATGCAATGGACGACTCCAGCTTTATTAATACAATCTAAACTTGAAGCAATTTTTCTGTTCATACCCATCTCCTACCTATTCGAGTATTGGCAAATACATCAGCTAGTGACCCACTGGTCCCTTTGCCTTCTCCATGGGAAAGTGTAGAAGATGCTGATGAAGATGTGGATGACCCCTGAATAGATCGGTTGATCCAAGACTCAGCATTCTGTAAGCTCTGATGCAATGCAGCAGAAAGAGCAGCTTGGCGCCTTAGCGACCCCTCATCCTCGGATGCGGAAGACGTGTCTGTGTGGAAGCAGAAAAGAAAATCTAGCTGCTTAGGGAAAAGCACATTGCACTGAACATGCTCTCTTTCCAATTCACATATCAATGGCACAGGCTTGTAATATGAAGATCTTTTTTTCACAGGCTGTGTCAAACAAGGTTACACTGGCCAAAACAGAAGTTAAAGCAGCAGACATCTCCAATGTGAACACATTTACCCCTGGTGTTTTGCCCCTGTTTAAAGCACACAGAAGATGCATGTCCTCGTACAAGTATCCCTCCCCTGGGTTCTCCAAGTTTATTATCTCTCACTACTTTTCCATTCATATTCTATAATATTAGATGCTCTACTGCCTAACTTTGGTAATTCTGAAATGGAAAGTGAGGGGTCCGTATCATTCTCAAAACTGAAAATTCACAGGAACAAAGCAGAATGCAGGCACTGGGAAATAAACATGCCAAGGCCACACGCAGAAAATGCTTTTGTCTGGTATTCTAAGTGGGTCCCTTTCAATTGCAGAAAACAAACAAAAAACCCAACCCCAAAACAAAACAGAGAAAACTACAACAAGGAACTGCATCCTGTGTTTCCAAGAGAACAGATATCTTGTCTATCCTAAAGCTGTGAACTAACTATTTATTTATCAGGAAGAAAGCGCTCACTACTTGGTATCTTAAGTTGACCGGTGCTACATATAAACATTCAGTTAGGCTTTGGCCTAAAATTTACATGTTCTTCAAAGCAATTGCCTGCCTATATTCTAGTTGCAAAATCAAACTATTAAATCATGTTCTACCTACTTGCCAAAGTAGAATGCAGTTACGAGCTGAAGAAAAAGACTGATTCCAGACACACTAAGTGCTAACCTTTATTTGTGTAGCATCCACAGCTCAGAATGTGCTGTAATCCTGGACAAGTTAGTACAAAGCTGAGACCCAAGCAGACACCAGGAACATGCATTAGCCCCCAGTAGAAAGGAAAAGAAAAAACGAACTATGAAGGAAATAAGGAGGTAAAAGAATAGGTATGAGTGAAGTGGCCTAGCAGAGCAGTTTTAGAGAGTGCTATGAATTCACAATGAGATATGAATCCATAATATTCAGATGACTTTGTCAATCCAAATGACTGTGATGCTTCTGCACAATGAGAGACAACATAAAAGTCACTGCCAAAAAATACACATATTCATTTTTAAGCCAGTGCATATAGCTGCTTGAAAACAGACAGGTTTATTAATATCTGATGCACATGCACCGTAACAGACACCACGTTATCCAGGTATTTTGCTGCAGCCATTACATGGGAGAGGTTAGGAAGGAAAAGTCCTGCAAGTCACGGAATCCCACAGGATCCCCTCCAAGGTCCTTGCCCAGAAATGTGCATCGCTGCAAATCCTGTCCTGTATGTTGAGTATTAAACCTTAACAAAATCAAAATATGAATTATGCAACTGAAATAAGTGTGAAGGAAGCAAAAGAAGCAGCCGCAGTCCAGAAAGCCTGCTCAGCTCTTGCCAATTGATTCTTTAAAAGCTCCCGGAAGAGGAGTCATTTTCACAGCCCTAACAGCAGCTCCATGAAAACAAGCGGCTGCTCAAATGTAGCAAGAGAGCTACAGCACTAACAGACTACCTACAAATGTGCTGAAGAGCTTGAGTATTGTGACAATTGCAGCCTCTTGATTTGGGAACTGTTACTAATGCGTACCTTAACATCCGCACAGACACGCACACGGTAAGAACCTAACCTGGGGGAGTGCAGGCATCAGCTGGAGACTGGACAAATGTAGACCGTCTTTTCGTTGGCATGGGCAAGGCCATCTTCTGTTCTTTGTGTTTTGCCAGTGCTGCTTGAACTGCTTCTGTGTGGATATCTGCAAAATGGGAGTTCATCTACTCAGTTTTGCAACAGTAGAGGAGGAAGAAAAACACACAAGGCTTACACATGTGCAACTATTGCTAGCCGTCTATATTTATGCAACTCTCCGTTTTACAGTACCTTCCCAAACAACTACATTTTGCCATCTCATGAGTAACATTTCCTTTTTTTTTTTTTTAAAAAAAAAAACAGGGTAACTAACTGAGGTTTCTAAAGTTAGCAAGCTATACAGCAGGGCCAGATTTTTTAGTCTGGAATCTTCTGGATTAGTCATTATATTCTTGTGTCTCTACCAACTTTTACAGAAACCCCAACCCCACCAGATCGTTCCCCTCAAACAAAGATTATCCTAAACTATGTTTGTGCATAATTTAAAATACACACATACGCTAACAGTGTATAGAGCCCCAGGTGCGCAACTCTGGTCTACAAACTGCCGAAGTCTGAGCCAGTTGTCTGATTTAGGAAAAACCTTATGTTCAAAACCCTGAATGGATGCAGATTTCATGTAAATCTTGAAAGTTACTAACTGCGGCTGTAAATACACGCTGATTAGCAACTGAAACAGGCTAAGACACGAGGCTTCCATCCTCTGCAAACGTCCAGAACTCTTCAAAGGAAGACACATCACTGACGATGAGAAGACAACTTATTAAAAAACTGCTATGACAAGGGAGAGCTCATCTATATGAATTTCTCAGATTAATGTATTTTAATTATGCTTTTCCAAAAACCAGAAAACTAGGCTCTTCTGATGCTTTATGGAATGGTGGTATATGATAGCAGTGTTACTGGAGAAGGTGAATTTGATATACTTTACTGTTGAGAAGAAAACCTGTATCTTGTTAATGCAAAGTAAAAACCAAAATCAGGTGGAAACAAAAAATAGGTGCTGCCATCTTCTCCTTTTCTTAAGTGGAGAAGGAAATCACCAGGGCACTGGTCAGCCATTTCTGCTGCTCTTTGGAAGTACTTTAAACACAGATAGGGAAAGCCAGCTCTCATTCTCCAGGCTCCTAGAACAGACATGCACAGCAATCACCAATTCCAAGAACAAATTATTACCTGTCCTCAGTGAATCTGGTTATCTACAGACATGGTTAAAATAGGCTTTCCATTCTGTGAACGACTTGCATTGAATAGTTGCATTCAAGCCAGAAAATCAAGGTGACAAAAAGTTACTTGCTTTTTCTACTTAGCATTCTTTTTGATTCAGTAGCTGGAGTCCTACAAGTCTGATGTTTTTTATACAGAACCACCAAGGTAGGGCTTTCCTTCAGTGGACAAATAATGAGCTTGACTCCTTGAGAGAACGTGGTACATTCTTCCTCACTAACAGGAATCCCAGATGAACTCTTGCTCCTGCCCTTACCAGATCGATAGCGTTCATCTCTGGCTCCCCCTGAGCGAGCTCGGTGAAATTTGGATGAGGATGATGATGACGATGCTGAGGCTGGAGTTGCAGATGGAACGGGCATCTGAGTTCTGGATTCCTTCTGTAACGCTGGATCAACCCCTGGAATACAGTCCACAATTCTCTGAGAGCAGGAAATAAAAGTAGCCTTTTTTGATCATACTCTTCTCTTTTACCATATAATTACAGGATTTCCCCTTCTTTGTTTTTTTTTTTTTGTAGCAAAGTGGAACTAATTACTATATTAATACATCTGTCCAATCTGTCCTAATCAGTTAAGATATATCTGTCCCTTCTTTGACCTCACTCTTAAGAGTTTTTTCCAGCTTTTTTCTTTTCAAGGGGTTGTTAGGCACTTGAAAAGACAATTTACAGCAAATCTGAAGCAGGTGACATAAGACATAATTTCACATAATTTAAGTAACCTATCAGTGATAAAGGTAGATGAAGTCACCTTTAAAGAATTCATTACGAAATACAAAAGCAAAGGTGATAAGGTTCAGATAAATCTTGATAAATGAAATAGTAGATAAGGCAGGGAAGTCCTACACTTCGACATATTTAATAGGGCCATTTGCAATGAACTTGAATGTTTTGTGATTTAATGTCTGTATGGTTTGCTCCCTATTTTGCCACGTTTCTAGTGGGAACAGGACTGCACCATACTCTCATTATTGCATTAAGATGGAAGACAATTAGCAGTTTAACTTGTGGTAAAGCGATATATGTAAACTGCTTTTAGAGATCATAGTCATTTACACCATTCTCCTTGTAGCCCCCGCTGCTATGGGCACAATGAGTAAAGGGGTTTGACTTATTGAGTCATTATCTCAAATTAAGTTTGAGTTGTGAAGAAGAGCAAACCCACAGAAAACTATGTTGAGAAGTTGGGTTCGTTACTCACTGTTCCACTGACCAGTGCGTGTTATTGATAGGAAAGCCAATAATATACCAGTGGCAAGAGCCTTTGCTGTTAACATTAAAAACAAATAGACCTCTATTTCTCCAGGTTCTGGCTCCTTTCAGCATGTCAAGAAGTGAGTGGCTTTATCATCCTGGAAAGTTTGTTTTCCCCATGAATACAGGGAGCTAAATAGATAATCTGATAAGAAATTATCATTTTACATAATTCAGCAAGGGACACTAGGAATCGTTGCTACTGGAGTTTCAATTCTAAAGTGTGTCAGTGGGAACTTTCTAAAAACTAAAGATCATATGGCTGTAATTACCTTCAGGTTGTCACCTGAAGTCATGCAAAAAGAAGAGCAATTGTGTCATCTAAATATGCGCCGCCTATGAACTCTCACAAACTACCAAAGGATTAGAGAAATGAAGAGGAAACCACAAATCCTGGAGTCCAATTCCAGTTATACCACTTTCTTAGTGTGTGGTTTTAGGTAAACAACTTAAGGCAAGTGCCTCAAGCTCAGGGAACTTACAATACCAGCAAATCACACCTAACTAGTTACAGAAATCTTCAACCATCTCCTATACCTTCCAACATCCTAAAGAGCAGAATATTAATTGAATATTACAGCAAACTAACTATCCACTTAGCCCAGCATTATATGCTTTGGAAAAAATTCAAGAACATAGGGGTCACGTGCTTCTGGAAGAAGTTCCCTCTTAACCCCTAGCATTACTGCTTGGCCTGGAAACCTTTTCAAAACTTTTCATCTCTTACTCAACCGTTTGTGATATCAACATTCAATGGAGGCAAGCTACCAACCTTATGTATTAATGATTCTTTAAACTATCATGCCAAAAAATTAAAGCCTGTATTTCTAGTTAAAAAGAACACATCCTGCTAGCCAGACATTCTCAAATCATATTAGGGGGACAAACAACTACTCCCCATTTTCCCTGGTATTTTTTGGATATCATAACATATAACACAGAGTTCTGTATTCGCTTATCAAAACATAACCATCCCCTGTACAAAGATGCCAGCAGCACAAAAAGTAGAATGGAAAAGGAAAAGGGACTTCTGTGGTTTAGGTGCAGGATCTGGTAATCAGAAGACCTGGACTTCAGAGCAAGATTTTCAATTCAAAAATCTCAGTTTACTCACATCGAAAACAATCAGTGTTTGTGTCCCCTTCCTGTCCTTCTGGATCACATTTCGTTGGTAACTAGTTTAACATCTTTGTAGCATATATTTGCCTTCATCAAAAATGAGAGAGTTTTCTTTCGATCGCAAGACAAGACAACTTCACAGACTGAGAAGAAATGCTTAATGCTTTCTGATCATTCGAGTATTTACAAATTCAAGTACCCACTAGATGTCAGCAGCAGATTTAACACTATTTTAAATGAATTCTTAAATTCATATTCAGTTCTCTCTTATAAGTCTTGCAAAAGCATCTCATCTGCTCTGCAGGGCATCACAAGGCAAACATGACATTCCATTTACAAAGGGATCAAATGTGTCTGTAAGTGACATGACACACCAAGAGCAAGCTCTTTGTTTAAATATTTTGCTATGACATAATAACATGTTACAGTAGCCTAACAAAGCATTCAAGCACAGATGAGAGAAAACGTGTATAGCTACAGTAAATCACAAATGGTTAATCAACAAAGCAGCGTAAGTGAGCTAAGCCTGGCAGGTGATAGGCGACTTATTTAGCATTCCCTTCAGAATAACCCTGCTATAGCTGCAGTTTCTGCTGGCAGGATCCGAATCTACAGAGACATGAAAAAGAAATTATTTTAGATTTGCTTTTGAAGGATGCTATGGATTTTTTACTTGTCCTTAGTTTTTAAGCAGAATTGACTCCTTTCTCGTCCCTGCGTTTTGTTTAAGGAAGAGGTTCAATGATTTAAAGATTCAGAGATTTTTTTTTCATAAAAAGATTTTTAGATTAAAAGAATCATTATAAGCATCATGTATGATCAACAAGGATAAATGTTTACATTAATAACAATGACAGTAAGTGCTAGATTCATCTGACAGAAGAAAAGCAGCAGGCAAACCTGTTATTCTGCTGTTTTGCATACAGAATTGAACAGAAGTGCTAGTGTTGGACTGGCTATTCCTAATTACAAGATGATTTTTTCAAGCTACATGACTGTAAAAATCATGTAAATAACAAACTCGGGTATCTAGGGTTTACAAGTCAGCCTGAACAGCACTTCCAGAACACAGGGGACAGCCTCACTCAGCAGCAGGCATGGCTGCATAAGCTTAGTGTGATTGCTGCTGTCTTCCAGCACCAAGACGGCTGAGAACTCACCAGATTTAGGAGATTCAGAGACTTTTGCAGGAGTTACTAACTAGATGGATCTTAATTCTGCCTTGTACAAGACACAAAGGAAGAATTCAGGTGCTCCATTGGTTTAGTCCTGGATATTATTTCAAAGATGGAGAAATATATTTCCTAGAGTCAAGTGATAAGCTTTATTTGAAATTGTGATACCCCTCAGACCGAATAAGGAAGAAAATAATTCCCCATTTGTGGTAGCTGCAAGTCAGATCTTGTAAATGGGTGAAACTCTCTAAACAACACTAAGCTGGAGCACGTGTGCACGATTTACAGGTTTAGACAAAGCTGTTTTATCACTGGTTACTATTCCACATTAGCTCTCACTTGAAATAACACGATGCTGAAAGACAGGGTGGG